AATAGTTATTTTGTCCTAAAAGACATGAGTTTATTTGATGAACTGAACGTCTCCTTAAAAGTTATCTGATGGCAGTGGTATATGTTGTTTCAAATTCTTTCAGCAGCATGTTTTAATGATTATGGTGTAAACGCTGTATATCCCGTCAGTCAAAAGTTCCCAGGTGTTCATTTTGGTTTTTAGATGTAAAGACCATTGAGCCACTTATTCATTTTACTCCCATCAAACTATTTAGTGGCTTGTTATCCAGCAAGTAATAATGACTGTCAACCAAGAGTGCCCTCCTATCATTACTGAAACGTTTCAGCGCACATAAAAAGAATAAATCACTGAGTTCAAATGATTCCCCGGCATGAGGATATACAAAGACGCAAACTATGCCCGAAAAGTACCTTACACAGCACAGTGGTTATTCGATTGCAACACTGTAAAGGACAGACATTCATTTTTGAAATTATATGAACCATTTTATATACACAAACATTCCCCACGACCAAATGTGTTACAGATGTACCTTGTATCGTCGAGGTGGAGTTTCTTGTAAAAACATGGCCATTTCTGTCATGATAAATGACCTTCCCCAATTTGCTCTAACGTCTAGAATTAGGGTCTAGGAAGAGCGGGATCAGCAAGAATTCAGAGTGCAGAGATTTAGAGGAGTGCTTCTTTCGTTCTGAAAATGTTCCTTCACATTTCTCTTAATGCAGGCGTTATCTCAGCAAATAACACTTCACAACTTTTTTTTTTCTTAGAATTAGATCTCTTGAACATTTCTTGTTATGTCTATTCACCTCATTCACAAACACAACTCAGCAGCAGCCTTTCAAAATGATTATGTTTTGTTCATGACTCAGGGTTCAAGTTCCTCTTTTTCTACTGTCCACTTCATTTAAAGGAGACATCTTCAGTTTATGTCCTTTGCATTAAAACCGCATTACTATGCAGCACCCCATAAACATCAATTACAGTGTAAAAAAGTGCCGTGTGGTGTATATTAGTTTTTAGTGACTAAACACTTGGGAGAGAGGCGACCTAGAATCAAGCCTTGTGGTGCTCTGAGTGTACATGTTCTCATTGTCCTCTCAGCTTCACTTCTGAGACACGGAGAGAAAATGCTCATTAGATCTATGTGCTGAATCTTAACTCCCTCCCCATTCCCCCCACCAGTTTTCATCTCTCCCCCCTTCTCTCTCCATCCGTCTGCTTAACAGATGGGAGGGTCGTGGGTACAGCTCCCCCCCCCTCCCCCCGGAGAGGCACGGTGCCTGTTCAAAAAGATCCCTCTTTATGCTTCACTCCATTTCCTTTTTTCCTCACTCGATTTCTCTGTTTTCCTCTCACCACTCTTTTTTTTGCCTTCCGTTGTCACCTCTCCAACTCGAAGCTTGAAGATGTAAAACAAGCAGAGCAGCAACTGTTGTCCTTCTGTCTTCTTGGTGCTAGTGTGCTCTCTGCCCTCAACATGCCGACCTCATTCCCGTTACCAGACCAGTGTTAATATAGACGTACTATTAGTCAGCGTCCACAGAAAAAGATAAAAAGTCTGTTCTCCACTAAAGGTTGCACCATTTCTTATTATTGTGTGTCTTCACAATTCCTTTTGTTGTTTTCTCATCTTATTTGCCCCGACTGGGTCAGATATCAGTGTAGGTGGCCTGTAAAAAAAAAAAACAATCCAGGTGGGGACTAAAGTGCTAAAACATTTGAGTGAGTTCACTAAGCGCTGCTTGTTTCCTGCAATTCCCTCCAGTTTTCTGTCTTGTCTTCATGAGGCTAAATTGGATTTAGTGAGTCAGTGGTAATCTGTTAAGTTAAATGATGCTCTATCCACCACACGAGTAGGAAAAGGGAAAGGAGCCTGGTGAGGAGGTGGGCACTCACTTCTTAACCAGAAGCTGTCTGGCTCTCATATGGGACGGGGGCGGGCGCGAGGAGAAGTGGTGGGGGGAGAGTTGGTGGCAGGAGAGGGGGAAGAGGGAGAGGGGATGGAAGGAAGGCAACTTGCCCTGTTGTGTAGGAGGAGGGAGACAGAGCACAGATGAAAAGGCAATGAGGGGAGCTGGCTGAGCCGGTGGAGGCATCAATACGGGGCTAWGTGGCAGCAGAACCTCACCTCGGGGAGCACTGGCTGGCGCTGAGAGCCAGAATCAGGGATTAAATGTTCAGGACACGGGCTTAATCTCAGTGTTAACGTTACGTAAGGCCTAAGGTGTTGCCCCAGCGGGTGTTGACATCAGCTCTGCTTAGTGAGCTGCAGGAGGAACAAGGAGGAGGTGGAGGCCAGCAGGCAGGGATCATGGAGGTAATGCCTCCTCGTTTGGAGCAATGCCCAGGCTGGGTAATGTTGAGTACAAAGACGGGGAGGTGGGGRGGATGATGCTGTCAGCTTGTGATTGAGGTACACCGGCTTGATTGATATCCTTGTCTGGCTGTCTTGTGCCAAGCGCCTTAGTGCCGGCTTGTAATCCTGGTTTGTCTGACAACATCCTTTTTTGTTTTGTACCAGAGGGCAGGTCTTTGTTTTTCTGTCTATGGATGGGTGTGTTTGCACAGAGCAATGCTAAAATGTTTTGGATAGCCTCTTCAGAACTGCCACAGTGTTATTTTAGATCTTGTTATTGTGATGGAGCAATCTGATTGTTGTTCTAACTGCCAAACAAAGCGTTTACGCTCGCGTTTTGGTTCTTTGCATAGGTGGGTGGATTCCAAATCATCATCTCAGGAAATTTTTTGACTGACTGTATTGTCTCGCATTGTTTCTGTTTTCATGTCACGGAAGTTTGGAGRAAAAATATAAAATAATTAATATGTTGTACATATTAACTCTAAAGGGCCTCACAACTGTGTTGTTTTATTTCTAATTAAACAAAACATCACTGCATTGAAAATTGCGATAGAGCCAAATACACACACATATATATATATATATATAATTTTTTTTGTTGCACGTAAAAAAATCTACTGTCGTGTTGTTGCCACAGGCCTCAGTCTGTCGCTAGGATCCACAGTGCATGGATGTCTCTATTACAAACTTTCATTTTCAATGTCCTACTCAATAGCAAGAAAAGGTCAAGTGCACAGCAAAGCACCACAACTAAGAGAAGAGTGCGCGCTACAACGTGCAAGTCTATGTATGGGAATATGCAAAAGGAGAAAATATGAGAGAGTCAGGAAAAGAGTAAGGGTGTCTGAGGAAAGAGAGACAGAGAGTGATAGAGAGAGAGACTGAGAATGACATGTCTTTTGGTGAAGTGGTGTCGTCTTCCACATCAATGTCTGATGCTTCTGCTGCCAGGTGCCGGAAATGTGGTTCAGAAAGGAGAGAAGAGAGAAGAAGGGGAAAGCAGAGAAAAAAAGAGCAGGGTAGATGGAGAATTTTTTTTTTAATGTGACGGCGTTGACAGCTCCCCTGCATTGCACTGAGCTTAAATAATGGGATGCTCATTTGCATAACGAGGGACGTTATCACCTCTACTGTCAAAAGAAAACACAACAACAGTTCTTCTGCTCCTCCCTGAGATAGATTGGGTTGGCCTACTTTAGCACTCTAGAGAGATGCACCAGAGCTCTGGCTTAGCCAAGCTCACAGAAGAGTGCACACACACACACACACACACACACACACACACACACACACACACACACAC